AAGAAGAAGAAGAAGAAGAAGAAGAAGAAGAAGAAGAAGAAGAAGAAAGACCAAGAGCAAGGTAGATGAATTCAACTACTACTTAAAAAAATAGGTTAGGGACAAATCATCCTAGTGAAAAATCTACTTAATGTGATTGGTAAGACTAACTTTGAAGGCATGTAATCGATCGATCGAAGATATAGAATAGATAGAGCTATAAATACCCAGAGGCCACGTCTGAAGGACAGAAAGATCTTGGCTAGAGGAAAAAGGAACCATTTCAGAACAGGATTATCGACTGATTGATGATCAATCAATTAGCTGGCTTTTATTCAATAGAATCATGCCATTTGTACATAGGTGAAACAGATATCAACAAATCAGGCTAAAACATTAAACTTTAATAGCCTGGTTAAAGAACCCATTTAATTACTCCACTGAGAAAAAAACCAAGGGAGGTGTGAGCAAATTCTGGAACCAGGAATGGAAGAACAGATGGGGTGAAGTTCCTCAACAGGCCTGCAACTCCAATTAAGTTTCTCTCTCTCTCCCTCTCCCCCTCCCTCTCTGCCCCTCTCCCTATTTCTCCCTCTCTCTCCCTTTCTCTCTCTCCTCCCTTTCTCTCTTTTTCTCTCTCCCCATTTCTCTATTTCTCTCCCTCCCTCTCTTCTCTTTCTCCTTCTTCCTCTCTCCCTCTCCCTCTCTGTCTCTTTCTCTATCTCTCCCTTTCCCTGTCTGTCCATCTCTCCCCCTTCCCCTCTTCCATCTCTCCCTTTCTCTCTTCTCTTTCTTTCTCTTTCTCTCTTTCTTTCCCTATTTCTCTCCCTCCCTCTCCCTCTCTGCCCCTCTATCTCTCCCTTTCTGCCTGTCTCTCTCTTTCTCTCTCTCTCTTCCCCTCTCTCTTCTATCTCTCTCTCTCTTCTCTTTCTCTCTCCCTCTCTCTCTCTTTTCCTCTTTCTCTCCCCCTCTCTGTTTCTCTCTCTCCCTCTCCCTCTGTCCCTGTCTCTCTCTCTCTCTCTCCCTCTCTATCTGACCGTCTCTCTCTCCCCGCTCTCCGTTCTATCTCTCCCTTTCTCTCTTCTTCTCCCTCTCTCTATATTTTTCTCTCTCCATTTCTCTCCCTCCCTCTCTTCCCTCTCTTTCTCTCTCTCTCCCTCCCTCTCCCTCACCCTCTCTCCCTCCCTCTCTCTCCCTCTCTCTGTCTGTCTCTTTCTTTCTCTTCTATCTCTCCCTTTCTCTTTTCTTTCTCTCTCTCTCCCTCTCTTTCTCTTTCTTTCTCTTCCTCTCTCTCTCTTTCTCTCTCCCTCTCTCTCCCTCTCTCTTCCTGCTTGCATCCAAGGTGGAGATGCTCAATAGCAGAACAGGATGAAGTGACACAGAGAAAACAGGACAAGAACACCTCCTCAAAGAAAAGACTGCAGAGAAGAGCAACAAAGATGATCAAGGGTCTCTGGAGGCTAAATTGTCTGATGGACAGTTGAGGGAACTAGGTATATTTAGCCCGAGGAAGAGGACGCTTAGGGGAGACATGACGGCATCTTCCAATAACTTGAAGGGTTGTCCCAGGGAAAAGGACCTCAGCATACTCTCCATAGTGCCCGAGGTCAAGACAAGAAGCAACAGGTGGAAGCTGCTCAGAGGAAGATCCAATTGAGATTTCATTTCATTTCCCTTTTTTTTTGTAAAGTGTTTTTTTTTTAAACATACATCAATATCATTTAATGGACAGCGTGGCGTCTGAGTGCAATTCATTTTGATGCAAAAGTAATATTGATAAAAAAGAAAATTACTACATTAATCAGACTTACGTGATCTAATGTTATTATACATATCAGTATCAGCACGTAATCCTTCATTTTTCAATTATTCAATATTTGCTACATCCTTCTAATAGTAACAGCATTATTTTTGAGCATACCTACTAACCTCCTTTTTCAAAATCTGATCTTATCCTCTATCATTTACTTTAAGTGTGTCATGTAAAAACATGTATGCAACGATATTCCCCCTATTTCTAATTTTTTAATCTATTCTAATTTGTAGTACAGCCAATCTTGGTTTTTTTTTAATAAGAATCCTTCTTATCCATCAACTCTCATCTTCTTGGAGGTTTCACTTCTTCACTTTTTGACTTGCCTCCCATATTCTTCCCTTGGGTCCTTCTCTACATCTTTCATACTCAACCCAACCATCATTTCCATCCCCCTTATTTGTTGCTGTCAGTCCATCCATAAGTCTGCTAAATCCTCTCTCTTTTCCTGATAGTGAGAACGATGATCAGTGGAACAGCTTCCTTTCAGAAAAACTCATTGGAGGTCTTCAAGAAAAGATTGGGACAGATAAAGACCTGCTGTGGGCCGGGAGTTGGACTAGCCCAGGGGTCGCCAACCTTTTGGACCTCAGGGACCACCAAACTCATAATTTTAAATCCCGCAGACCAGAGACCCTGGGAAAATCCCCCCAAAGTCTGCAGGAAAATCCCCCACCCCGTTTTCCTACCGATCGATCATTCTTTATTTGGGATCGCAGGATACCGTCTCCAGCTCCGTTCTCAAGAGGAGAGAGAGAGAGACTTTTGGCTTCATGCAAGGAAAGCAGCAGAAGCCGCAAAAGTCTTTCTTTCTCTCCCCCAAACTCCGCCAGAAAGGAGTCTTTGTGGGACTTGTCATGCCTCTTGGAGCAGGAGGCCTTGCAGGGTCCCAAAGACTCGTTTCTGGTAGAGTTTAGGGGAGAGAAAGAAAGACTTTGGCTGCTTTCCTTGCGTGCAGCCGAAAGCAGAAGAAGAAAGAAGCAGAGAGAAGCAGCCACCGGTGGCCAGACAAGGCGTATGGGGTGAGTGGGGCAAATTCCCCCCCCTCCGCCCTTTCCCCCCTACCCTCACTACCTCATGTTGTTCGCAATGCAAGCAACACAAGCCTTGTGTTCCCACGGGCCATGTGGGCGGCGCAGCCTTGTGTTCCCACGCAGCCTGGATTGATTGCTTTGGGGGTGACATTTCTCTGAGGACCAGCAAAATTTTCTCGCGGACCACCAGTGGTCCCCAGCCCACCAATTGGTGGTGACCCCTGGACTAGAAGACTTCCAGGTTTCCTTCCAGCCCTAAGATTTTATCCTATGAATGCTACCATCTGATAGGAATGATCAGATCAATGCTGGGTACGGGGACTTCTGATAAGCCTCTCTTGATCGCTCCTGAGCAAACCGCAACTGTGGAGTTACAGGTCCAATTTTCACCTGAGATGGATAAGGACAGGAGTCAATTCCCAAGTTTCACCATGCAGAGGTGTGAAAACAAGGATCGGTGGC